CTATCTCGGGATAGAATCACGTTAGCGGGGGAGCTTTGTACATTTTTCTCTTTCGGTATATTAAGTGAAATAATCCGAAATACAAAATTTGATCACAAACGTATCTTATATTGTAGTTTAACAAAACCAGTTATCTGCTTAATCCATAAAAATCTTATGATAACCTACTCATGAACCATTCATAACACTCTGTTGTAAGCGACACCTAAAAATAGGTTTCTAGAGGGAGAATTTGCTGTTATCGTAGCCAGACTTATGCGTAATAATAATGGAAAATGGTACATTCCTGTTGAATATATATGTTGTGTATGAAATATTGAAGGCGTTGTTACCATCTGTTCTTAATGTGATCGCTCGTCCCAGGTGATATCAAAGGAGAAGATGTTCCGGAGGCAGATCTATTATAACATTCGGGAGATAGGCCGTCGTAATAATTGATTTGGATATTGTTATTAAGTGACATTTTCTTGTAAATACAAAAATCAATTCAAGTTCATTCATGGGATAAGGGTAAAACTGGAAACTTATTAAAATATCAAAAGATTATTGATTATAAAATGCATAATAAATATAAAGCCAATGTGCAAGACGGAAGAGATGCAGCTTGCTTTCTGAATAAGAATTTTATTTATGAAAAATCTTTTCTTTTTCAATTAAGTTGAAATTAAATTGTTAAAATTATTTTAACACAAATACTTAAAGAAAATATCCCGAAAGACTTGCACTGGCAATAAAAATGTTTAATTTTAAAATATAATCTGTATATCTGTGTAATCTGTGTGGGTTTGTGTAGCTGTATAAATATATATGAGAGGTAATGTTCCAATGCTATCACATGCGCTTGGAGCATGCATCCTCTTTTTTCTTTCTGACGTTTAAGATTTTTTATTTGATATTTCTTTTTATATTTCAACTTATTTTCCCTTAATTTATGTGTTCTTTCCATACAATCATACAATAACTGTAGTAAATACGTGCTGCCATGCCTTCTCTTATTTTCTTAAAGTATATAAGATTAAGGGAAAATATACTACTAAGCCATGATCCCACTTTCCTCCCCTAAACATGATGCTGGGGGGGGGGGGGGGGGGAGGATAAGACCAATGTCCCCCTATTATCACGAGACGCTCATGTTCCCCTCTTGTAGTATCGTCGGCGACGTCAGTTGGAAAATAATTACTCCATTTAAAAAGGATAGTAACCTTCTTTTAATTAGTTTAGAGTTACCATATCATCGCATCATTATACATTCAATTTATATATATATATTAAGCATAGCCTGATGTGATAATCACATCCATTCTCCTCCGCAACCTGTGTTACGTGACCGTTACTGTAGTAGGTCGTAAGGCCCATTGGTCAAATACATGTTCTAGTTGAAGCCCACATGAAGAAGGAATTTGGTTGGATGGTAACAGTTGTAGGAATGTTTGCATGAAACATATGCTAGTTTATAACTTCTCTATTGTTTATCAAATTTGATGACATCTTAGAAATATATTAAGGTCTACTTGTTTAAGCGTTTTTGCTTTTGAACAAATCACGACACACATTGTTCATTTTCTATCTTTCAATAATTATAATCTCAGTATTTGCCGGAATAATTCTGTCTGCCTTCAAGCTTCAAGTTCCTAAATGGTATACATTGAAATTCTAAGCACCCTTTGGTGTAATATTCTGTCTCCTATAGATATATAGGTCCATAATTCTGTTTATTCAAGTACATAGTCCTTTCAAAATATTTGCACCAATAAGTAATGCGATTTCGATGTAACATATACTGTAACAATTATGAATAATTCTATGAGCATCGTGTGTTCTTGTGCTATCCCTTTCATTTATATAACGTTCCAGCGATCTGGATCAATTGTTTTGATTTTATTAAACAATATATCAATGGATCAAAATAACTTTATGAATATTAAATAAATTTATTCCTACGGTGAAAGTGTTAATCTCCTATTTTTACACAAGCATTTTATCATCCGCAGTAAATATGAAAAGAAACACATTTTTATGTCAGCCATACGAATAGGTCGGATTTTTGGACAGAAACAATATGAATGGGGATATTTTTTCGGAAGCAAACGGAACCCCTGCAACAAAATATGGACGCCCCATCCACGATTGCTGACCCCCAGACCTTTTAAGTGACACGCATGTCGACAAAACAAACACAATTTGTACCCAACATTTCTTCTATGCAAGAGATCAATCATTTCTTAAGAAAATACGGAAAATATATTCAATAAATGGCTGTGCAATTTTAATGTATATATATGGTGAAATCCATATTTTATAGGGGAAATATGTGCATGGGGGAAAGTGGCTATATGTTTAGTTAAGATAGATCTGAATTTTATAATCAGATTGACTATATGTCTACGTATTGTCAACTTTCCGCGGGGGAAGAATGGAAATGAGATCATGCTAATTTTTCTCGGCACCGGCCAGTCAAAAAAACTGGCATAGGGGGAAAATGGCTATATAACACCCCGACTAATATCTGGTCCTTCTCCTGAACACCGCGTGCAGTATATACCAAGTTTTCAAGTCTTTGGTTTGGCCAAAGAGCATGATGACAGGAGAAATCTTCCTTAGACATGCACATATGTTTGGAGGAATGGATAGTGGTAACGACAAATTACGACGAACATATCCGTGGTCATCTGTTACACAGATATTCCATAAGTAGATAATGGTCTTTCAAAGAACCCTTTATTCAATAGCTTCCTTGAAAGCAGCAGCGCTTCATCATGGATCCGTAGAGGTCAGTAGCGAATCGTATAACGAATTTGTTACTGTATCAGTAGTATCCTTAATTTCTAATCTGATTAAAATTCAGATCCATCTTAACTCTCGTGCTCATAACGAAATCTGAGATCTATATATTTTAGTTGGATTGCTAAATTTCCAGTTCAATGGGATAGATGAAAGATCAACATAATCACCAAACTGTGAAGTATTCGGGCAATGACAGAACATCATCTATAGCGGAACCTTAAATCAAACTACAATGCTAGCTTCTTTTCATTCTTGTTGAGAGCCCCTGTGTGAAATCTACCTCGTATGTAATAAGAAACAAATGAGTGCATGAGAAGAGGGGCACAGTTGGTACAGCTTTTTGCCAAGCAAACATTATTAAACGATGTATGTGGAGTTGTCAAATGAATTTACGGCAGCTAAAAGGCGGAGACAGTCGTGAGAGTCTACAGAAGTAAAAATTATCGTCAAGATTTATGCGTCCTTAGAAATGTCTCACACTCGAATTGCAGATGTAAAACTTATGTAATCAAGTATTTTAATAAACTAGAAGCAGAAACCTAATTTTAACGGTCCGAGAGACAATCATACTGCAATGGTGTGTAAAAATAATATAAGGGAGATTTGGATATTCGAGACACGCTTCTAGACTTTTGTTGGAATGTCATATACACTTTCTGAATTATACTAAACTGTACAAAGCAAGACTTACATCTTCTGACATCAGACTCGGACTTCTCTTGAACTGAATTTTAATGTGCGTATTGTTATACGTTTACTTTTCTACATTGGCTAGAGGTATAGGGGAGGGTTGAGATCTCATAAACATGTTTAACCCCGCCGCATTTTTGCGCCTGTCCCAAGTCAGGAGCCTCTAGCCTTTGTCAGTCTTGTATTATTTTTAATTTTAGTTTCTTGTGTACAATTTGGAGTTTAGTATGGCGTTCATTATCACTGAACTAGTATATATATTTGTTTAGGGGCCAGCTGAAGGACGCCTCCGGGTGCGGGAATTTCTCGCTGCGTTGAAGACCTGTTGGTGACCTTCTGCTGTTGTCTGTTCTATGGTCGGGTTGTTGTCTCTTTGACACATCGATCCCCATTTCAATTCTCCATTTTATTGGACTAAGCAGGCGAGAATAAAGGCCGAGGGACCAATAAAAAACGCCGCATTAGTACTGAATATAGGCATAGACAAAATTATTGAGACATGATGGTCTTTTCTATTTTTAATCTCTTTTTATCGTTCTTTGGTCTGATCCCTTGTGGATAGTTGTTTCATGAGCACATCTACTTTTTTTCATATTGTAATGGTATAGGTCAAAAAAGCTCGTTTTGGGACCTGACAATTAACACTGACTTGCAACTATTCATTTCTCTCAGGATATCAGTGTGGTAATTTAAGCGCGGTTTGTTTCTTGCCAAATACACAGTATAATTTAGTGAAATCTGGGACCAACAGATTCCAGTTAACATTAAATGTTTCATGATTCAAGTTTACATGTATAGGTACATTAAACAATTATTGTTAATTTATTTATGCAAGTTAGTATTTACAGAGACATATTATATGTCTCTGGTATTTACTTATTAGTATTTATTTTCCAATATTTTTTTCTGTTACTTCATATTAAGATTTTAAGAATCCTTGTTTAAATACCCATGCTGACTTTTTTCACCGTAAACTTTCAATCTGCACTTTTTCAGTCAAGATTAATAAACGGAATTCTTGTATTTTTTTCAACAAATTTTTGAGTTTCTCGGATTTCATCTTCTATTTTTTCTATGCAAATACACAGGTGCTTGTGGAATTGACCCCATTTTCTATAAGGAATTTTTGTGTTTTAATGTGTTTTTTTTTAAAATATTCGTTAAAATATTAACATTTTAATGTCTGCAAATCAGATTTTTTTTTTTGCTCTCATTTTTATTTCTGATTTTCCACTGGACACCAGTATGAAGTGTATAACGAATAAATCTAACAAGGATACAGTTTATTGAGTATGCTAAATCATGTGACTAGCCAATGATCCGTATTCCAATCAGAAAATGTTATTCAATCTAATATATCTGAATACATGAAAATAAAGTTTTTTTAGTTCAGAACAAAGAAGTTGAAACAATAATAATTAAGCAGCAGTATTTTCCAATGATTTCTTATACAGCCGTTTCCATTTGGGAAACTAATATTCGACAAATATTTTTTCCTGAAACGACTCGTATCTGTTCCGGCATAATTTTTGTGGAGATTTCTTGACATTCATTGATTTCGTCTGAAATTTATTTTCTCGTCGAAATTAACAGATCAAGATGTCAGGAAAAGACAGGCTTAACGTTTTCCCCTCAAGAATGTAAGTTGAGTCTCGTGCAATTTATAGATCTTCTTATCTTACCATCTTACGACAGCAAAACGTATATATATTCAGTCTTATCATATAATTTTCATAAATTTTTATGCCATCTGCTCCAAAGCTAAACAAGTTTCTTAAAAGGAATGTTAACATCTCTAACAATTCTTTCAAGAAAAAAGCATACATGTCCCTTGTCAGACCTTCAGTGATATATGCCAGCTCAGCATGGGACCCATACCAACTATGTACATGATGTATAAATGACATCCACAAATTGCAGATGGTTCAAAATTTGAAATACGGATTAATGTAGTAAGACTATATATATATCATTGGTTCAAAGAAGGACAGTAAGGTATGTTACTTACAAACATCACAACGCTTCATCAGTAACATGCTGGAACATCTGGAATGGACTTTCCCTACAGGAAAGAAAGGATACCAAGCTGTTTTAAATAATGATTCACAAGGAAGATTTTAAACCAAGAGTTCCAAGTGATGAAGTTGAAATCATCCCTTTGTAAATTTTACTGATGCCATCATGAGTTGGTTGACATGATTGACCGTTATGGAATATCTGTTTCACAGATGACAATGGATATATGTTCAAATTGTCGTAACTACAATCCCATCCCTTTTTCCTCGAATGTGACCTTCCAAATTAGACTTATCACCAGGTTAACATCTCCAACAAGTCTTTCAAGGAAAAAGCGTACATGTCCCTTGTCAGACCTTCAGTGGAATATGCCAGCTCAGCATGGGACCCATACCATAATAACAAATGAATGCCCTTCCAGAAATAGTAACGAAAAACAACTGTACAGAAGGAGTAGTTATATCCTAGAACAATCAAAGTGTGGAACGCTGTGCCTACCTGTACTGTCTCTGCCAAGCATCCTGAATCTTTCAAGGCTCTGATCAGTCATTTGACATGTTTTTACTTGCACCAAGTTTTTGTTTATTGAATTTCAAAAATTATTCATGTTCACACTTTGAAAATGTGGCAGGATAGTCAGGCAGTTGAAGATGTCTGCTTACTGGAAGAACTTTAGAAGAAGAATGGCAACTGAACAGTTAAAATACCCAAACATCAGGAGCATTGCATTGTTTAAATATAATAAAATCTTTTCTTTTCTTTTTATTTCATGACTCATTTTTCATTGCATTGCATCCTCTTAAAAGGAATCATCAAGATTGATTAATGTTTGATACATGATATAAATTAAACTAAAATTAAAAGTGTTTACAACATGCACTGTGACAGTATAAAAAGCATCAAGTTAGCCCTTGCATTTAAAAAAAAAATGTAAGCATTGACCCCTAATTTGATTTTTTGTACACTTGCCTACATACATACTTATCATGCAAAATGTTTTTAATATGAAAATGTACCAGGTTAAGAGTTTCTGTTGTCTCTTATTACGAAAAAAAAAAAAAAAGAGGCAAAAGATACCAAAAGGGGAATAAAAACTCAATAGTTGGTGTGTGAATAAAAAAGCCATCTAGCAAGAAACTAAAAAAATCAACAGTGTACTAAACATTGCATAAAAGAATAAAGACTTACCCCACCATATACCAATGTTAAAATCAGAGCCTCTAGAGGAGTAAGCATATATGTTCTGCTGGACATGAAGCACCTGTGGTGTTGATCATAGTAAGTACAATTTCAGTATTACGTCTCATTTGGTGATGTCACAAGCTAATTTGGTGATGGCACAAGGAAAAGAAAAGGACTTGAAAATTATTAAAACAATTAGAACATATTGGCGGTCATCTGTGACACAAATATTCCATATAGATCATTCAAACTCATGATTACAGTCAACCAGCAGTAAAGCTTCAGAATCAGAAGGGATGACTTCAACTTTACCATTTGGAATTCTTGGTTCATTAGCTTCCTTATAAGAGTAACCTTCTATCAAGGAATTATTGATAGGAAACACCAGCTCTCAAATATCTAATCAACTGTTAGATAAAGAAGATCCATATCCTGGTATTTTTCTGCCTAGAAATGGAAAGTTCCCAATTAGAAAGCAGAAATTATCTGTTTTGTCATTAAGTTTTGTTCTCAACCAACCCTCAGTGTCAACCTCGTTCAGTGTCAATTTCTATATGTTGTAACACTGTGTTGGCAAGAAACATACCACTAAAATAGAATATGGAAATTATGAATTTGTAATAAAAACTCTCAAATAGTGAGTTCCTAGATAAATAATGCTTGAAAAGATTTTAGAGGTATTTTCAAACTGACTGATAAAACTTCACAAATGATAATTTTCCCTTATTTAACAAATGGAATTTGTCTTTGACGACTGCTTAATAAATAATGGCAACAGTAGAATATAGCTGTTCAATAGTCATAAATCGATTAAGCAAAACAAATCCGGGTCACAAACCAAAACCAAGGGAAACACATCAACTATAAGAGGAAAACAACTGAACAACAGAAACACTGAACTGCAACCAAAACAAATGTCAACATACATAGAAACAGACTATTTGATAACAACTGCCATATTCCTGACTTGGTACAGGACATTTCTTAAAATGGTGGGTTGAACCTGGTTTTATGGCTAGCCAAACTTCTCTCTTATATGGCAATTTTAAAAATACCGCAAAAATAACAACATTACATGACAGGAATACAGTACAAATAAACGCAAGAACACTCAGGACAGAGAAACACATAAATAAATAATGTAATATTACATTACAACATGTAAACCACAGAATAGCAACGAACACCTCCCATGAATCCACGACAGCACACCAGGACACCACAAACCAATTATAAACTATGTGTCACATGAATGTATCAACGCCACAAAAAGTGACGTAATAAGAATGGCAATAATATACATTTTGTACATGTTAGAGTTGTTTGAAATAGATGCTTTGGTACTTTAATTCAGATAATAATTTTAGAATTAATGACAAATGGAATATAAAAAACATACATTTCAATTCCTAAGTTTTAATTGGTGTTGACTTTCTTCTATAAATTTACTGCCTAGGTAGCTACATGTAAGCTTACTTTAAAATGTTAACACAGTTATCAACTTATGACTCCTTGAATTAGAATATATACTGCATTTATACTTGTAAGTATTTATTGATATGCTGATTTCATTTTGGGTCACATGAAAAACAACTGCTTTTATCATTCTTAAGTTGCTGCTTAGTTTTTGTCTTGCCTTGACAGAGTAAAAAAGTGAGACATAGGTATGCTGTTTTCGGCATCGGCGTTGGTGGCGTCAGCATCGTCAACAATGTATTAGTTTGTGATTAGGTCAGTTTAAGGGGAACCACTAGTGGTAGATCAATGATATTTGGTATGCAGTTGTATTAACATTGGCACATCTCATTTCCATGGAGATTATTTGGCCTGTCCCCTCAGTCATGGTCGATTGACCTTGAATATTTTACATAACTTACATGTTAAAATATTGCTATTTTAATTTCAACATTTGCATTTTACTATCAAAATAACAAAAAGGCGAGACATATCTCTGTGTTAACAGTTTATTATTGAAATATTTTTATGTTTAGATAAAATCAATATTTATAGTCATATTCTGGTAGTGATTATATTTTACAATGTTTTATTTCAGGGCCATGGCCATGATGAAAGTTAGATTGAAGGGTGCACAAAAAGGTCATAGCTTATTAAAGAAAAAGGCTGATGCATTAACACTCAGATTTAGAATGATTTTAAAGAAAATTATAGAGGTATGAATACAAACATGGCCATTGATTTGATAGAGGATAAAGTAAATAAACTATATTTACAGGTTTAGCATAATAAATTATTGAGTGTCAGTTTACTTAACAAGGATTTTAAATTCATTTTTGAATCAGAATATAATTTATGGCATTTCCTGGAAAGCTTTCATGGAAATTAAGCAGCTTTCAGTTTGACTGATATACCACAAATTACATTTTGAATGATGAAATATCTGTAAAATTGATGAATTGAAATGGCCAGTATGAGCTCAAATGTTTGCACGGTGAATTGTAATACATGTAGTTCACTTTTTTATGTGTTAACCATATCCATCCTTTTGTAATTCCTGCCAGCATTCTGAAATCCAACAGTTGTCCAAACTTTTTTTGTTAAGCATATAGATACTGATCTAATTTTTGGTTTATAAGTGTTCAATGGTGAGTTATTGTTTAAAATAAGTTAAAGGACATATGGGGTTTAGTCAGTAAGACAGCAATCCAATGACAAATAAGCCATAAGACATCTACAGGTCAACATATAGTCTTCAACAGGTATCTGACATATCACATTTTAAGCTCTAATTTACCTTGAGTCTATAATACATTGTAGATGTGAAATAGTTAATCATAGACTTAAATTATAAAAATCTGTCTTTTGTACCAAATTCCTGAAATAACAAAAGACAACCACATACTGACTGTCAAGGTTCCTGAATTTGGTAAGGCACATGAATATGATATATGGCAGGGTTAAACAAGTTTTTTTTAGATCTCAAAACAGTACATAGTAGAGTGTACAATAAAATTCCACACAGGTTTAAAATTTTATCATTATGGTGTTATAGATATTAACAAAGGTACAAGCAAAACAATAATAATCATAGAACAAGGGAAAATAATCTAGTTGGATGTAAAATATCATTTATAACTCCAAGAGATTATTCATTTGCATACCTCTTTCTGTAATTCCTGACACACAATTAAAATTGTTATCTGATTAAACATGAATCAACCACATTCCTTGGATTTTCATTGACTTTTTTTATTTTCAGACAAAAGTTTTAATGGGAGATGTGATGAAAGAAGCCTCCTTTTCTCTGGCGGAAGCTAAATTCACTACTGGTGATTTCAACCATAATGTATTACAGAATGTCAATAAAGCTCAGATGAAAGTTAGAACAAAAAAGGATAATGTAGCAGGTACTTTGATATGACTGTTATTTCACTCACTGTATGCTTTAAAAAATGAAGATACATTAGAGAGGCCCCTCATGGGGGTGTCCAAGTAATCACATAATCACAAATTTTTTGCCAATATAATCACATAATCATTAATTATTGTTTTAAACAAGATAATCAAATAATCAAAAATACAGTCGTAGATTATCAAATAATCAAATAATATGAAATATTTGGTCTGGTAATCAAATAATCACTATAAAAACGGCCAAGTAATCACATAATCAAAAACCCCACGAGGAGGCTCATTAGACTTAGTATTTATTTTTGATGAACAGGGTTTTGGGGGTTGAGGTATTTATGTGATCTCCTTAGATCACCTTACTTTAGTTTTGATAGGCTTATTATATCTTCCTATTAGTTTCTAATCCAGAATGTCCGTTACAATGTATTATGATGAGCAGTAACTTAATCTTATATATACTGCCAGTAGAGGCACACATCAACAATTGAGAAGAGACATTCTTTGATAAAATTATGTACATATTCAATATAAAAAATGAAGCACACTCAATTATATACTTCAGACGAGTATGCACTTTAAACACATGCTCCACTGGTAACATCCATCACCAGATTCATAAGCTAATGAATCACAGTTTTAAATTGCTAAGATATAAGATCGGCCTCACTGCCCATATTGTATAAGAATACAACTTAATATTAATATTTATCTCATTACAGGTGTTATGTTACCAATATTTGAAAGCTACCAAGATGGCTCAGATAGTAAGTATTTAAGGAGTAATACCACCATTGATTTTCCCCTATTAGTCTTTGTTAAATTGGCATTTTTCAAAAAATTGTGCAGAATTTATCTTTGTTTCAAATAAAGAAATACATGTCCAGTACTACAGTGAAAATTCCACATAACATTTCATTGCATATAAGATAATAACCATCACTGGAAGTAAACTAATCAAATGTTCCCCCTTTTTTTTCCCTGTTAACAAGCTTTAGTAACCATGTCACCTGAAGATTCCAAAATATTTTATAGAAACAGCAAATAAAAAAAGAATGATACTTTGAAACACCCAAGATACATGTTGATGACTCAGAAATTTTTTTCTGCAATGAAATGCAGGGTTTATTTCCTACAACTGTCAAATTCAAGGGAATATTTTTTTCTACCCTTTTTTGTATGAAGCCAGATGTGACGTACTATGATTTAGTGGTATTACACCTTTAAAAAACTTCAATATATATATTTAATTTTGTGGTATTTCCAAAAACATTCTTAAATTCTTTGACATACAATATGTAAATATATTGTGGTATTTCCAAAAACATCCTTAAATTCTCTGAAATACAATATGAAATAGACCAGTATTACTGCTTACAAAATAACAAAGATAACTGAATCATCAAAAAAGTGGTCTCTTAAATAGAGGAATTTTATGATATGGTTGTAAGTTACAAAATAAAGGTGTCATATGTTTGCCTGGCTTGTGTCATTACTTGTTACAATTTTTCGTTTTGGGTTGTTTTCTTGTTTATATTGACAATTTACTGGTGTTGTTTTAATGGCTTCTCAGTTTAATGGAAGTTGTGTCAGATAAACATTCATGTACAGTTATAAATTCTTGTGATGTTAGATCAATTGTTTTACAAGGACATTTTCTCCACTGTATTTAAGAAAATAAACATACCACCACAAAATTAAATACACTGCAAGTAAAGTACATAAACTCTAAACTGACTATGTGCCAAATTGTCTTTGTTCTTACTTCTAGGCCACCCTTAACAAATTCCTTGTTTGATGTTGCCTACCCATGCCTTGTAGGGTTGGATAGGTAGGTAGGGATTTTATTTTTTTGGGGGCCAACAACATAAGTTACATGTTTAAGACAAGAAAACGACGTAAGAGCATAAAAAAATCGTTGAAAAAAAAAAATTGAAACGATTTTTTCATGTTTTTAGATGGGTAGGTAGGCAACATCAAACATTTGAAATTTTATATTTGGCCTTAAATGCTGCATGTTTAATTAAGAAGCATTATACTTATTGTCCCCTGCGCAATGTGTTGCGGGGGACATAGAAAACATTAATTATATGGAAACATTAATTATATGGAAAATTGCATTGTTAATGTTCTCATGTGTAAAATTCTTGCCAGATTTTTATGAAACTTATATCATAAGTTTAAATCAGCAATGTCTTGGACGAGTTCAAAAATAAGTGCTGATCAATTATTTTTAAAAGAGTTATGCCCCTTGGAAATATTTATTATTTGGAAAATTTATATCCTAGGTTTATATCATCAATGTCTCCAACGAATTTCGAAAATCATTGTCGATCAACTATTTTTATACGCCCGTTTACGGGACGTATTATGGTATACCGTTGTCCGTCTGTCAGTCTGTTGTCAAAATGTCGGACATTAACTCAAAAACGCTTTAAACAATTTGCATAAAACTTTGGTGAATTGTTTATATCTATTGACATGAGCTCCCTTTCGTTTTTTATGAATTTTAGATTTTACGTTTTCGAGTTATGGGGTTTTATTCATTAAAAAAAGGGAGATTTTCCAGTTTTTGGACAATAACTCAAGAATGCTTTCACCAACTTGCAAGAAATTGTGGTGAATTGTTTATATCTATTGACATGAGCTCCCTTTCGATTTTTATATATTTTAGATTTTACGTTTCCGAGTTACAGGGTTTTATTCATAAAAAAAGGGTGAGTTTCCAGTTTTTGGACAAAAAATCAAAAATGCTTTCAGCAGTTCTTATGAAACTTTGGTGAATTGTTTATATCTATTGATGTAAGCTCCGTTTAGAATTTTATAAATTTTACATTTTACATTTCTGAGTTATGGGGTTTTATTCATTTAAAAAGGGGGGATTTTCCAGTTTTCGGACAATAACTCAAAAATGCTGTCAGCAATTCTCATGAAACTTTGGTGAATTGTTTATATCTATTGATGTAAGCTCCCTTTACATTTTCATAAATTTCTAATATGACTTTGAGAATTAATTGAACTTTAATTGTTTATAGTCTGACAACAGATTTACTAAGTATTGCGCAACAGCACAGTGTATTGCACAACAGCAAGAAATCTTTAATTGAATATAAATTCAATTCATATAACCAATTTCAAGTTCTTTGACTACATTTATTCAGAAACCTATAATATGTCAAATATTTGATACAATCCAAATTCAGACCTGTATCAAGCTTGAATATTGTGTCCATTTTTGCCCCAACTGTCCAGGGTTGGACCTCTGCAGGCGTATCCAGCTGCGCTCAGCGTAGCAGTTTATTAAAAGAGTTATGCTACTTGGAAATATTGATTATATGGAAAATTGTATCATTAAGTGTTCTCATGTGTACAATTATTGCCAAAATTTTATGAAACTTTGATCGTAGGTTTATATCAGCAATGTCTCAGACAAGTTTGAAAATCAGTGCTAATCAACTATTTTTAAAAGAGAAATATAAATTATTTGGAAATTTGCACTGTAAGTGCTCTGGCATGTGCAATTTTTGCCTGATTTTTATCAAATTGATATATCAAAGGTAAATAAAAGCAATGTCTTGGACAATTTCAAAAATAATTGCAGATCAAATAATTTTAATGAGTTTCCCTTGGAAATTTTAAAAATATTGGAAATTGCTCTGAAGTCTTCAACTCTCTAGTATTAAAGATAATTTTAAAAAAGTTTTAAGGAACAAAAAAAGGTTTTTTTTAGTTATTGTCCTTGGACAGAACAGGTTAAATATGTGCAACACGGGGGACATTGGAACTCTGTTCTTTTATTTGAATTCTTTGGCTTTACTCCTACTCTAAGGCAAGCACACTACCATTAGACCACCAAGGCATTTCTTTAGTATATTTGAGATTGAATATTGGTTTAAAATTTTCAAAGAAATAGTTGAATATAGGTAACAAGTATAAAATGTGTTGAGGGCTCACAGTTATTGCATGTTTTCAATGTGTCTCTTTTTCTTTGCAGGTTATGAATTAACTGGTTTATCAAGAGGAGGGCAACAAATAGATAAATTAAAAAAGAACTATGCTAAAGCAATACAGTTATTGGTAGAGCTGGCATCTCTGCAGACTTCCTTTGTCACATTAGATGAAGTCATAAAATTAACGAATAGAAGAGTTAATGCTATTGAACATGGTAAGTTTACACATGCAGAGTGCCATTTAGATACTTGTGGTGTAAAAAGCCAATCTTATGTAATGTTTAGTTCTTTGGATTTTCCATCACTTTTTTTATACGACCGCAAAAAAATTTGAGGTCGTATATTGGTATGACGTTGGCGTCGTCGTCATCGTCGTCGTCGTCGTCGTCCGGCGTCGTCGTCCGAATGCACAATGGTTTTCGCACTCTAACTTTAGTTTAAGTGAATGGATCTCTATGAAATTTTACCATAAGGTTCAATACCACAATAGGAAGGTGGGGATTGATTTTGGGGGTTATGGTACCAACAGTTAAGGAATTAGGGGCCAAAAAGGGGCCGAAAATAAGCATTTTTGTAACTTCCAGACATAACTTGTGTGTTAGCATATGGATCTCTTTGACATTGTACCACAAGATTCCATATCACAAAGGGTCAATGCTGGGATTGATTTTGGGGTTAATTGCCTCAAAATTTTAGGAATAAGGGGCCAAAAGGGGGCAAAAAACAAGCATTTTTCTAGTTTCATGACAATAACTTGTGTGTAAGTGTATGGATCTTTCTGAAATTTTACTACAAGGTTCCATTTCACAAAGGGAAAGCTGGAATTGAGTGTTGTGGTAATTGCCCAAAACGTTTAGTAATAAGGGGCCTAAAAAGGGGTTTAAAATAAGCATTTTTTAGTTTCTAGACAATAACTTGTGTTCAAGTGTATGGATCTCTCTAAAATTGTATTACAAGGTACCATACCACAAAGGCAAGGCTGTTATTGAGCTTGGTTTGGGGGGAAAGGGGGGTGGGGGTGATGAATCATAAGGGGGGCGGGGGTCAAAAAAGGGGTAATTTTTTTTTTCCTTTTTTTTTTGTTTAAAATTTACATTTTAAGTTAGTTATTTTTTATCACGAAGAGAAAGTAGGAATTGAGTTTTGGGGTTAATTGCTCAAACATTTATGAATAAGGGGCCAAATATTGGTCGAAAATAAGGATTTTTTTAGTTTGCAACAAAAACTTGTGTTCAAGTGTATGGATCTCTGTGAAATTGTATTGCAATGTACCATACCACAAATTGAAGGTTGTGATTGAGGTGGGGGATGATGAATCAAAAGGGGGTTGAAAAAATGTGTGGGGGGTAGGATTTTTTTTTTTCCTTTTTTTTTCTTTAAAATTTTCCATTTAAAGATGGTTGTTTCAGATTTATATATGAAAGAAAATAATAATGATACGGTTATATATCATGAGGAATTGAAATTTAAAATTATGTATATTGGAAATTTAGGTTACATTGGAAAGTAATAATTGGCTTTGGGGGGGGGGGGGGGGGGGGGTGGTTATGGCTCTAATGTTTAAGGAATAAGGGGAAAAAAGTTTAAAAAACAAGGGTTTCCATTTTAATAGACAAATAATTGAGTAAAGAACATTATTTAAAAGCAGTGTAAGGTTGGTAATTCAAACTCATTTAAATATCTCATCTACACTGCTTTTAAATTATGTAAATTGGAAATTTGCCAATAACTTTATTGTTAATAAATGCATTGGAAATTTGCCAACAATTTTAGTGTAATAAACTTCATTGGAAATTTGCCAATATAAAATTTTGCTGATGAAGGTTTTTTGTTTACCTTTAGCCTTGACTATGAAGTCATTTTCTATTTTTATAGCCTTATGATGTAGTTGAATTATTTAATACTTTTATGATGTGTTTAAATGGGGTTTTATCATGTTTATGGTTGCAAATTTATTGTTTTAGTATAATAAACTCCATTTAAAATTTGCCAATAAAAAAAATTTTTGTTTATTTTTAGCTATGATTATGATGTCATTTTCTATTTTACTTTTATGGTTGCAAAGAAATTTTTATTTTTAGATATTACTGTTAAATGATGCTGATTAAGTTTTTTACTATGTTTAGCCATGACTATGATGTCATTTTCTATTTTAATATCTGTTATGATGTATTTAAATGGGCTTTTATGGTTACAAAGGAATTTTATTTTTAGATATTACTATAAAATGTTGCTGATGCTGATTAAGGATTTTGTTTATTTTTAGCCATGACTATGATGTCATTTTCTATTTTAATACCTTTATGATGTAATTTCCATTTTTAGATATTACTGTTAAATGATGCTGATTAAGGGTTTTTTGCTATGTTTAGCCATGACTATGATGTCATTTTCTATTTTAATATCTTTATGATGTATTTAAATGGGCTTTTATGGTTACAAAGGAATTTTATTTTTAGATATTACTTTAAATGTTGCTGATTAAGGATTTTTGTTTATTTTTAGCCATGACTATGATGTCACTTTCTATTTTAATACCTTTATGATGTATTTAAATGGGCTCCCATGTATTTAGATTTTTGATTATTTATACATGTTACCAAATTGGTCCACATTGAACAAAAACGGTCCAAATTTCAACTTTATTACATTACATCAAACATTGAATTCTACATATTCTTTGATATATTGAAATTAACAAACAATTTAGTTTATGGATATTCCACCATAATAGGTAAATTAAATTTTTTCCAGTTCTTACACCACATTCATCCTGTGTCAGAAACCTATGCTGTGTCAAATATTTAATGACAATCCAAAGTCATAGCTGTATCAAGCTTGAATTTTGTGTCCATACTTGCCCCAACTGTTCAGGGTTCGACCTCTGCGGTCGTATCAAGCTGCGCCCCAGCGAAGCATTTTATTATTTTTTAGATGACGTTTTAATGATAAAAAAGAAGATGCCTAAATCCAACAAAAGAGTTTTACTTCTGAATTTGAAATAAAATACCTATTTTATCCTGAATCATATTTTGATGGAGTTAGTGAGTTATTCTATTTAAAAAAATGCTGGAAATTGGAAAAACATGGTTGATGTTAAAAATTTTAAAAAATCATACACATTGCAAAAGACTGTCTAATCAAAACTTGTATGGTTTCACATATTTCAAGACCTATTTTGAATATTCTTTAAAAAATAGAGAACCAAAATTGTGCATCCTATTTACTGTTTTACTTAGTTGGTACTAGTTTTTCTTATACATTTGAAGCAAAATAGCTGCTGATTGATACTTAAATTTTGTTTTTTCATGCTTTCACATCAACCAAAACACCATTATTTTGAATTTTCGAATTGATGGTTGGTCTATCTGGTGAATTTTTATACGGCCGCAAAAAATTTTTTGGGATCGTATGATGTCTTCGTCTGCATCGTCTACATCGTAATCGTCGTCTGTGTCGTCGTCCGAAGACACATTGGTTTCCGGACAATAACTTAAGTTTAAGTGATTGGATCTCTATGAAATTATTATGTTAGTTTTACCCTTGTCCGTCTGTACGTATGTACGTCGGTCCGTACGTCCCAAAATTGGTTTCCCTTCTCTAACTTGAGTTTGCCTCAACCAAATGTTATGAAACTTATACACAATGCTAATTACCACAAAACACAGATCAAGTTCAAATTTTGGTGGCGTCACTTTAACTGTTCTAGAGTTATGCCCCTTTATAAATGGAAAAATTGCAAAATTTTAGTTTCCGTTCTCTAACTTAAGTTTGCCTCAACCAAATGTTATGAAACTTATACACAATGCGTATTACCACAAAACACTGATCAAGATTGAATTTTGGTGGCTTCACTTTTACCATTCTAGATTTATGCCCCTTTATAAATGGAAAAATTGCAAAATTTTTAGTTTCCGTTCTCTAACTTAAGTTTGCCTCAACCAAATATTATGAAACTTATACACAATGCTTATAACCACAAAACACAGATCAAGTTTGAATTTTAGTGGCGTTACTTAGACCATCCTAGAGTTATGCCCCTTTATTAATGGAAAAATTGCAAAATTTTTATTTTCTTCTAAATATCAAGTAATTTTTAAAATTGGAGTTATCTTCCTTTGTCCATGATTATAGTTGAATCAACTACAATCAATGCCTTATATAATGCAATGTTTAATTTTGACTTCCACTGATAAAACACAGATCAAGTTGAATTTGGGTAGTCTCACTTTAACCATTATTGAGTTATGCCGCTTTATAAATAGAAAGATTGCAAAATTTTTAGTTTTCATTCTGTAACTTAAGTTTGCCCCAACCAAACATTATGAAACCTATACACAATATTCATTACCACAAAACTAAGATCAGATACAAAGTTTTTGTTTCTGTTTTCTAACTTTAGATTGCCTTAACCAAATGTTATGAAACTTATACACAATGCTTATTACTACATAATACAGATTAAGTACAAAATTTGGTGGCGACACTTTTACCATTCTTGAGTTATGTCCCTTTATAAACATAAATATTGCTGAATTTTTCGTTTCTGTTCTCTAACTTTAGTTTGTCCCAACCAAATGTTATAAAACTTATACACAACCGTTCTAGAGTTATGCGTGTTTGTTTCTGTTCTCTACACACAATACTTATTACCACAAAACTCAGATCAAGTTCAAATTTGGGTAGCGTCACTTTTACCGTTCTTCAGTTATGTCCCTTTATAACTATATGATATGCAAGCATTTTACTAGTTTCCAGACAATAACTTGTGTGTAAGTGTATGGATCTCTTTGAAATTGTACTACAAGGTTCCATACTACAAAGGAAAGGCTGGGATTGAGTTTTGGGGTTATTGCTCCAAGGGGGGTTTCAAAAAGTTGGGGGGGGGGGGGGGGATTTTTTTCCCAATTTTTTTAAGGGATTCATATTTTTTTTCAAAATTTTTAAAATTTCGAATTTTTGAAAAGTTTCAAGAAGAAATCTTCAAGTGCTCAGTATTGCGCAATGGATTTATAAAATCCATGACGACATTTATTTTGTGTCAGAAACCTATAATATGTCAAAAATTTGATCACAATCCAAATTCAGACAGTATCAAGCTTGAATATTGTGTCCAAATTTGCCCAAACTGTTCAGGGTTCTACCTCTGCCATCGTATCAGGCTGCGCTCAGCGAAGCATTTTATTTAAAAATTGTAATACAATAAAAAATTATAATATGAATAAAGGGAGGTTATAGGGTACACATATATGTAAATGAGTCAGCAAACTAATGACACTTATAACCAAAAGATAAGTTAAGGTCATGCATGTATAAGGTATTCTTCTAAATTGGAAATGGTAATGATATGGAGTTAACTCCCTTTCAATAAAAAAAAACTGAATAAACAAAAAAAATTTAATTTTTTAAATCACCAGTGTAAACGGAAAATCACTCAATTGAAAAAGTGTCAGATTTATTATTTTGTGACTGATAAACAGAATGACAGCAATTTATAAGGTTCTGATAGAAATCATTTGGAGAATTATAGCCTTTTCTGTTAAACTTGCTGAGATACTTTGGATAATTTCTGTCTTGACCTTCAAACAACATATTCTTCATTTATATTGTTTAATAGATTTTTGTTTATCTTCAGCTAGCTAATAATGTAAAGCATGTTCAGAAATATTAGCCATTTATATCTAATATGTATAGGTGAGTTTGATAATGATTATTTTGCTTCTCTTTCTTCAGTTATTATACCAAGAATAGAAAATACCTTATCTTATATAATAAGTGAATTAGATGAGAGAGAAAGAGAAGAGTTCTTTAGGTAAGTAAATTACAAAGAAACAAATCAGGTAATCCTGCAATGAATTAATTATCTTTTTTAAAATTGGCCATTTGATTCTGTTATAACACAGTTTTAAAACAATTTACTTCCCTTTGCCAACTGGTTCTAAACCGGACAAGATGGGTTGTTAAAATATTTGAAAAATTTAAAGATTACACAATTTACTCACAGATAAATCCGGAAAAACACAGAAATATACAATTAAATAAATTGATTATCAGATTTTCATCGTATTGATATTGTAAAATATCAGCTCTTCATCACAAAACATGCAATATGAAACCTTTTAAACAGTTTTTGCTCATTCAACAAAAAAGCTTCATAATGTGACCATTAGCTGATATTTTAAAATATAAATACCCGGTATGCAGAAACCCTATAATTGGTACAAATCCCATCTTTACTTAAAAAAAAACGAACTGTTAAAAAAGGAGCAGTAAGATCTTTTACAACTAATTTAAGTAGTTAATGCCTTACAGCAATATCAAGAACGTTCCTAGCATCAACTTATGTGTGGCTTAAACATAGTCAATAGGACCTGCGACCTTTAGGGGTTATGCTTGCGACCTGAGGTCTCATTTAAAAGGACCTCAGACCTTTTAAAATGAACAAAAGTATTTTATTAAAATGTTTTATTTGCTAAAAATTGAACAAAAGTGTTTTATTAAAATGTTTTATTTACTTAAAATTGAACAAAAGTGTTTTATTAAAATGTTTTATTTGCTTAAAAGTTACCTGGTGACCTGGGGCATTTTTAAATTTGGGATTATTTGGCGGTTTTCACCAAAATAGCAGTGGTTTAGTTTTGGTGGGTCAAATTTTGTCACTTGGATCAATCTCATATTTCAATTTAGAAATATTGAAATTTATTTTTCGATGAGTTTAAATTTTAATTTAGTCTATTAAATAAATATTGTTTTGATTCCTAAAATGGAAAAATGGAACAAAATACAAAAGCATCAGAGACAAGCACCATTATGATAATAATTTGAAAGAATTAATCTAAAAATCAGAGCATTTTAAATTTAATTGCAATAATTTGAAATTGGAACTTAGGGTAGATCAATCGGAGTTACATTTTATTAATTAAAGTTTTGTTACAATAATCTGTTTATTCTGTTAATCAAGTAAAATAACAAAAATACCAAACTCCAAGGAAAATTCAAAATGGAAAGTCCCTTATCAAATGGCAAAATCAAAAGCTCAAACACATCAAAACGAAAGGAAAACAACAGTCATATTCCTGACTTGGTACAGGCGTTTCCTTATGTAGTAATGGTGGATTAAACCTGGTTTTAATAGGAAGAGTCAAACTGTTACAAAATTTTGTGTGTCCATCACCCTACTAATTATATAAAAATAAATCAGTTGTTTTCTCATTCTATTAAGTTAAATGTAGAAGGTCCAGTAACAACAACACTTTAAGGTTGAAATGGTACAGAATTGCTAGTAAAATGTAGTCTATATTTGGAAATAAAGACGTTAATTGAACACAAAGTTTACACAGAACACAACTGACAATAACTTATTGTATAATTCGTTCCACTGTGCAAGAGTGCTAACACATGATGGCAGAATAATTTTAACAAACATTTTAACAACAAAAACATTGTATTTTTATTTTATTTTATTTTATTTTAATAGTTTACTTCCATATATACTTACTTTCACTTTCTCTTTCAATTGCTATTTAAAATGTTACTCACCATAGCAACATTGTGACGTTTTAATTTTCTCAACCCGATTTTGTACCTCAGCATGATTTTATGTATTGTTTTCTATCCTGATGATGGTGGCCTAGCCACCGAAACATGTCGATCTCAATAAATTACTGAAGCATTCCTTAAAGTGTTGTTGTTACTGGACCTTCTACATTTTGTGTTTTTATCGTAACGACCCTGCATACCCGAGGTATCCACTTTACGGAATCTACTGACAGAAGATTTACCAGGCGTTGGTTCACTTGTTTAAAATTATTAAGTTAAATGTATACAGTTTAGGGATGATTTCATTGTTTGATCATTATCTTTGCTCTTGATGTTCTATTCATCAATATCTAAATCTTGCAATGATCGTTCTGATAAATGTTTTATTTTAGTTTGTTAGTTTGAGCACTTTCTTCTAAGGCGCCAAAATGAACCAAAAATAAGTCAACAGCTAAAATATCTCAATTAACAGTATTACCTGTGAAATATATTCACAAATATTTTAGGGTGAATTACCTATAATCAACATATCTTTTAAGGAATATATGTTGGAGGATTTAAAAAATACCAAAATTGTGTCAGTCTTTTGCAAAATTTGGTGGTCAAAACCTTTGGATCACCACTTTTTCGAGAACTCTGTATTTAAGTAAATTTTTGCATCACACTTTGTATAGAATAAAATATAACCATGTACCAATCACTCCTTAAAGGAAACAAATAACTCAACATGGGGGACATATTTTACACATATTTTAAACTTATTCTATTCCAACAGTTTAATTATAGAAATATGCGTGCTTTTCAGTCCCCTACCGAAGGGGACTTTAGGTTTGCACTCTGTCTGTCTGTCTGTCTGTCTGTGTCTGTCCATCCGTCAGTCCAGCAAATCATTTAACCGCTTTTTTTTTCGTCATGCTTGAAGATATTGATTTAATAATTGGTATATAGTTTTATCATAACAAGTTACAGACTAAGTTCAAATTTTGTTCCGGTCTGATGATTTTGCACAGAGTTATGGTCCTTGGACTTAGAAAATTCACTCAAATAATTAGTTTTCCACACTTTTTTTCGTCATGCTTGAAGATATTGATTTGATAATTGGTTTATAGTTTCATCATGACAAGTTACAGATCAAGTTCAAATTTTGTTCCGGTCTAATGATTTTGTGCAGAGTTATGATGTTTGGACTTAGAAAATTCACTCAAATAATCAGTTTTCCTCACTTTTTTTCGTCACTTGAAGATATGGATTTGATAATTGGTATATAGTTTTATCATGACAAGTTACAGATCAAGTATATTGTTCCAGTACAATGAATTTTTAACCGGTAGGGGACTATGTATTGCCATGCAATACTCTCAGAATGCTTGTTATGTTTCTTTTTTTTGAATTGTGCAGATTAAAGAAAATTCAAGAAAAGAAAAAGAAAAATAAGAAGATTGCTGAAGATGCAAAGGCAAAACTAAAAGCTGCTGGATTAGAGCCTGAGACTGAAGAAGCACCAAATATCTTAAATGAAGGGATGGACCAAGACTTGCTGTTTACAGATTGATGAAAGCTTGTTGTTGAATAGATTTATAAATGTCAGTCATCAGCTGAAAGTAGGCCAAATCAGTTTAATTTTTAGTTCTATGGATTTTCCCCTCATTGATTTGATTAGAGTGTGTTTTTATTGAAAAATAAATAGATGCACACACAGAGTCACAAGTTTCTGAATCCCTCTAAATATTTTTTTTCAAAGTTTGAATAGATGATTTATTTACTTTGTAATTCATAAATTTTTTTTCTACTTTGTAATTCATTAATTTGTCATATCATACTTTAGAACTGCAACTTTTAGAAGAGTCTGAATTCCAAACTGATCTATTTTTCCAAAATCCAAAGAACTTTAAATTGAAAATCTGTGGCCTTACTATAAAATGACAATGAAATTAAGTGAGGAAAACAAAATTTTCAGATGGTGAAAAAGGTTTATTAGTATTCACAAGTTTAAGTTGATATTTTATGTCATCTTTTTGTAATGGCATCACTCATAGCATTTTTTGTTGTTAAATCTTTAGTTTTATTTCATTTCCATCCTGTGTTGTTTTCAGATTTTTAAAGTTTAAAAAATAAAATAGCTAAATGCAGGAATATGCAGTAATAATCAGAACATTCCAAAAATATTTAAATATCTTTTTTTTTTGTAAAGAAAAATGATTCAATACATTTATGTTTGAAAACCTTTGTATTAGGTTTTGTTATAATGTTTCATAGGCTAGTTGACAGTATTATTAAACAAGAATTAAAGAGGTTTTATTTGTATGTTATTATTGAGAAATATACCAGACAGTAATTTCAGCATTTTGCTATTGAAGTTATAGAAAAATCCTGAAATTTAGAAATTCATGTATTTATTTTCATTTGTATTTATTTGAAATACAGGATAGGATAAAAACTGCAATTATAGGAGAGTTCCAGGATAGTTGTTGTTTCAACTTGGAGGTTGAAAAAGTCACATCATGTGACATTTTCTATGCAGTTGAAATATTCTAACACACATTTCTGTTTTGCCCCCACACCCTTATGAAAACCAACCTTGTGGTGACATCACCCATAAGATGATGTTTTCATGCAAATGACGTTGTATTTATCACAAAATTAGATATCTGACCTTACCAAGTGGCTTTTGGGTGTAAAATGAAATGAGACACAGGAAAAAAGATTACCTAAACTGAAATATTGAAAATATGGCATTTTGAATTGTGCTTTTAATATTTAAATAAGGAATGTTGAAAAATTACATGAATTGATCTTGCATTCAATTTAGTTGTCAAATATATATATGGTGTACTAATTTTTGCACCTCATGTTTGCGGTATACCATCTTTTCCGCAATTTTATTGTTTTCTGTTTGGTATTAAATAAATAATTAAGATCCATTTTGCTACATCTGGTGATCTGTTTATTTGGCAATAGCCATAGCAGTCAGCAGAGTTTAAGAACATCCGTTGTTCAATCTGCTAGTCAAATGTGTTTTGTTAAAATATACTTTTTCTTTTTTTGGTCTTTTGGAAAATGTTGTTTGTGCTGTACCAAGAAATTTGTTTTGCATGCATTTACATATAAAAATGGCAGTTTTTATCCAATGCAATCATAGGGTTTGAAGTTGTTTTCAATTTAGACTTGTATATGTACAAATACGTATCCATTGAAGTAGATTTACAACATTTAAATGTCATATGGTGATGTTTATGTGGTCTTTTGTATGTATGTATGGTATGATTATTTTTCTTAAATCTCAATGCTTATACAAAAGGCTTTTCTCGATAACAATTGCTGGATTTTTTGGATTTTCTTCAAACTGTTAAACTTTCATTGCAAAACACATGAATTGTACAAGCGACAAACTAAAAAACATTTAGTTTTGATACGATAGGATACAGAGTCACAGACCTGCCAAAGTAAATAATTACATTTCAATCACATGGATTTTAAATGTAATTAATTACACTACAATTACATCGATTTTTCAATGTTCATTTGTAATTGATTTTACTACAGTTAGGATATTTATTTTCTTAAATATTTATAGTCAAAGTATTTCTATGTTTGAAAAGGACTTGGAAAAATATTCTCACACAAAAACAAGTGTGTCCGTGGACTATTATTTTACCTCACGTATGGTGTTAAAATTTAATCTATATATTCAAGTTTCAAGATTGTAAAGTAGTTATTATTGAATAAAAATGTTGTATATATAATATAATATAATATAAAAATATAATAAAATGAAACACCCGGATCGGTTATTTAGTAATTTAATGATTTTTATGCCTCCGCAGTAGCGGAGAGGGCATTAAGTTTTACCCTTGTCCGTCCGTACATCTGTCCGTCTGTCTGCTGAATTTTTCGTTTCCGTTCTCTTACTTAAGTTTGCCTCAACCAAATGTTATGAAACTTATACACAATACTTATTATCACAAAAGTCAGATCAGGTACAAATTTGGGTAGTGTCACTTTTACTGTTCTTCAGTTATATCCCTTTATAACTTTATATGATATGCAAGCGGGGGCATCACCTGTGTCCCATGGACACATTCCCCATTTATATTTATTGCTTTGCCACTCAGTGGACAGGAAATATAGTATTACCCATGTCAGTCCTTCTATCCTCCTGTCCTTCCAAAATCCAGCAGTTTTTCTTTTTTTTCCCTATCATTCCTGTACATATGAGATTTGAGTGTATAATAATGAGCTATATATTGAGTATGAGTTCAGTAACAGATGACCTTTTTTTCATGGAATTATGGAAACCTTCTTGTCATTTAGAAAGTCCTTTAAAATCTTGTTTTGTTTTGTATTTTGCATATATATATATTCCCATATATTTATTGTCAAACAAGAAAATTATTCTCTGCAATGTTATTTTAGTCAAGTTTCAAATGACAGATAGCACATTGGACTGAACATAACATGCAAATTAGGTACATCATGAACAGTAACCATCAATGACACATTTTAAAACTAAAATGAAACCAACCAAAACTTCAATGATTATCAATATTGCCTGCCGCTTGGTGATCTCATGACATGGTGCTTGAGTAATAGATGTCATGGCTTCAATCCCAGTCAAGGTCAAACCAAAGACTTGAAATTGGTATGCTGCTTCTCAACTAAGCATGTAACATTGAAGAACAGGAGCAGACTGGTCCCCTTGGAATTGTAATAATATGTTCAGGTAGGGTTGCACGTCTTTCTGCAGCCTGCTTCCTTGTGCAGATTAAATATCCGGTTCAATGTGTTGGTCTAGTACAAAGCATATATTTACATTTCCAGTCCTGAATATGAATTTAATTTGCCACTGGACGTTAAACAGTCGTCCTTTGTCTTCATCACCAATATTTCTAAACAGGTTGTGAACTCAAGAGATGCTATAAAGGGCTCCCTATCAATGATCTGTTTTAAACAGAAAACTGGCAAGAATCAAGACGTCATATTCTTTACAAGATGGATGGGTATTATCCAACACATTTCTGAAAGATAAAATCCAAATTATGAAATATTGATGTGACGTTTTTCCACACCTTGATGAAAGTTACCTTTTTCCCTTTTTAGCTCACCTGGCCCCGAGGACCAAGAAAGCTTTTCTCATCACTTGGTTTTTGTCGTCGGTTAACTTTTACAAAAGTCTTCTCTTAAACTAAGGGGCCTAATGCCTAGACACTTTATGCAACAACAAACATGTTCAAAATCTTTAGTCGATTCATTATTGGAGTTCTTGCTCTTTATTGACGATTTTTACCAATTTTTGGCATTTTTGCCTTTTATCTTTAAAACTATAAAAGATAGATAGAAACTTTAAATAACAAAAATGATCAACAAGACAATATTTAGTAGACTCTTTTTGGAGTTTTTGCCCTTAAAGGATTATTTGTTTTACCCTCTTTTGGATTTTTTGGCAAAAACCAAAGAAGAAAGAGAGAAATTGTTAACAAAAAAATTATCAGCAATTCAAGATCAACAGAAAGAGATTTTTGTCATGAAATTTGTTCTAGTCTACTGATGAAGATGCACATAGACCTAGGTGAGCGACAGAGGCTCTCTAGAGCCTCTAGTTTGGATTTGGACCAGGTATTTGTGAGCTCTCATCCCTTCACTTTATTATTTTTCAGCAGAAAAACAAAATGCTCAAAGAAGCTAAGACACTTCATGTTTCCTTGCTTTTTTTGGAATCAAACTTATTTAGATGGAAGATATAATGCTCGGGGAGAAACCTGGTGATTTTGATATTAAGATGTCAAAGGTCACTTGTACTAAAAGTTGGTTTCCTGATCATGATGACAAAAAGTGATAAAGATTGAAAATTGGCTGTTATAAAATTTCGAGAAATTATTTTAAATCAAGTAGTGTATCTCCCTCATGCATGGCTCACATTCCTTGTCCTGATTAAGCTTTATTTTTTGGTTCTTTTTTGGTTTCACCAGCTCTTCATGCAACGTGTGTGTTAGGTTTTGGTCTCGAGCATCGCTGAAGAGACATTGCATCTGGAGCAGCAAAATTGGTACCGTTTATGTTATTACTACACATAGTGTGAAATTTTTCAAAATCTTTGAAACTGTTAAATATGGCTTCATTTTTCTGGAATATTTTTATTCGACATATGTCTCCAGACCTGATGGCTTCTTTTTGGTTTCACCAGCTTTTCAACGTTTGTATAAGGTTTTGGTCTCGAGCATCGCTAAAGAGACATTACATCTGGATTAGTATATTGGTACCGTTCATGTCGACGACGAGGGTTTTTTTTAACGACCTTGACTACCCATGAGGGTCCTGCACGGTCGGCCGTTTATGTTATTACACATAGTGTGAAATTCTTCAAAATGTCTGAAACTCTTAAATACGGCTTCATTTTTCTGGAATATTTTTATTCGACATATGACCTGATGAATAAACCCTATCCAGTGTTTAAGGGTGAATTAAATCTCTTGTTTTCATGCAATATTCATGATAGATTTCCCTTTCCCCCTACAACTATTATTGCACATTCCATGTTTTCCCTCTGCAGTAAAACAGTATCTCCGGAGGATCAAGATCACATTGCTTTCAATCGCAAACATATACTAGAGATAATGAGAAACAACTTAGTCATCACTTCATGAAATCATTGAGATATTTTTTTGTATTTTCACTATTAGGATTTTCAACAAATCAATTAATCAAAAAGATCAACATTTAAAATAAAAAAGGAATGCGAGATATTATTTTCTCTACCGTTATAAAGCCGCCCCAAAAGGTGAAATGGGAGAGCGTGTAAAACTAGGAAAACAATATTTTTTTTTAGTTATAATTTTCACAAAATTAAAGGGGCACTAGCTGTCAAATTCGTGTTCACCGATTTGACTCAATTTCTCATATTTGATTTATAACCATGTAAAACATTTATCCAAATTATAAAAAGTCTAATGTAAACAATTTACAGGGCATGGGCTCGATAATACGTAGCTTCGTTTCGTGTGTATTTTAGTCTTGTCGCCATCTAATTAACTATCGATTTGACCTCCGAAGACCTCCGATGGTCATATAAACAACTTATAAACATAAATATAGATATAAATAGAAAGCGAAACTCGTGCATTTGGATTTTTCTAGATCTGTTTAATTTCATATTATAGATTAAGAATATATGTTAATCATCGTTTTTACCTGTATAAGAATGTTTTTTTGTGGATCGAATCAGTCAATCAAATGATTTACCTTTGTTTCATTTTCAATGTTGACGTTCTTTTCCTTTAAATAACCGAACACGCACAATGCATGCGTTATCCATCTCTAGCTAAGGAGTTAAATTGAAGTTCACATGAATACGGATTCATTGAGGTAGAATTATTCACTTCATCAATGTTTCTTAGCTTAATTTGGCAAAATTGAACCATACTGGCTGCTAAAAGCGGATTATTATTTCACTATTTCACTTTCATTAATGATTGAACAAAAAAAATCATACTTTAGATTTTTTATGTATCTCGTAGCTAGTGCCCCTTTAAGTGTCTTCCAAAATCTTGACACATATATAGATATTATTGTCAATACATAAATTTATACCTTTTAATCTTTAGTCGTCTCTTTCTTTAAATTAAAAGAATCCCTGTAATGGATGAAATAGGATACATTAGCTTTTTAAATTTGATTGATTGATTGGTGATTGCTTTACGCCCCATCACCACACAAAGGCTCTATTGCGGCGATTTTATATTTGATCCGTTTTATATATAGCATTAAGAATCACTTATTGACTTCTTGACAATATTAGTGTCAAATAATCATTGTTTTTATTTTTATCCGTTTTCATATCTTATTAAACTGATTGATCGTGTGATTTTTTAAAGAATATTTCTAATATTTTAAATGAGACTTTTCAATTTGAAATACTTTGGAAGCCGAACTTATTAAAAGGATATTAGCTACGAATTATAAAACAATAATTAATATGTGATTTTTGTTTTTGTTACCTTAAACATTTATAGAAGTGGAATTTTAAAATATTTTCGATATTATCAGTCAGTTTGGTTCATTTTGACAAAATAAGATCAAAAACATCGCTGGTATATTATTGGGATTGCAAGTCAATAATTCAACCTCGTTTGAATCCGTATTCATGGGACGTTCAATTTGACCCTAAGCTGGGTATTCATGTTCAGGTACTAAAAAGTCATCATTATACGATTGCACGTGCTTGTCTATTTATTTATATATATGTGTATATCGGGCCATAGACCATCCGCGGCATTCTACAGAGGTCATCTCGATGGTTAACTAGATTGCGTCTAGTCTATAGATACATTACAACGAGTGCATGCATTGATTATTGCTTTTTTTAGTGGACTTTTTGTAATTTGGATATACGTTTTAGTATGTTATAAATCAAATATGAGAATTTCAGTAAAATCAGTGAATATGAATTTGACAGCTATTTTAAAATGCCTCTTGAAGTATTTTATATATGTTTAGCAGCATCTCGGGAGATACCGTATTACAGACAATAACATTAAATATCTCAATATTATATAATCGTATGTGGAACAGTTAAATATCAATTGACAATACTTTACTTTGACGATGATTAAACAACTTAGTATTTCACAAATAGTCCAAATTTTGACATTTTACCCCAACATTCGAAACATCATCTTTCCGCTAAACATTCAAAATGATCATTTCGTCTGAAGATTAAAAAAATCATCATTACTTCTAAACATGCCAAAATATCATCAATTTCCTCCATAAATGTTCCAAAATATCATC